TCTGTGTTTTTATAATACACAGGGGGGAAACAGCACTCTGTGTTTTTATAATACACAGGGGGGAAACAGCACTCTGTGTTTTTATAATACACAGTGGGGACACAACACTTTGTGTTATTATAATACACCGGGGGGGACAGCACTCTGTTATAATACACTGGGAGGAGGACAGTACTCTGTGTTATAATACACAGGGGAGTACTTGTTATTATAATACACCGGGGCGGCACTTCTGTGTTATTATATAATAATAATGGGGGACAGTACTTTGTTGCTGTACTGCCACTGGGACAGCACTTGTGTTATTATAATATACCGGGGAGGGGGGGATATAATACTGTTATTATAATACACCGGGGGGAGGGGGAGGACACAGCACACTGTGTTATTATAATACACCGGGGGGAGGGGGGGACACAGCACACTGTGTTGTTATAATACACCGGGGGGGACAGCACTCTGTGTTATTATAATACACCGGGGGGAAACAGCACTCTGTGTTATTATAATACACCGGGGGGAAACAGCACTCTGTGTTTTTATAATACACAGGGGGGAAACGGCACTCTGTGTTTTTATAATACACAGGGGGGAAACAGCACTCTGTGTTTTTATAATACACAGGGGGGACACAACACTTTGTGTTATTATAATACACCGGGGGGGACAGCACTCTGTTATAATAATACACTGCGGGGAGGGACAGCACTCTGTTATTATAATACACTGCGGGGAGGGACAGCACTCTGTTATTATAATACACCGGGGGGGGGGAACAGCACTCTGTGTTATTATAATACACAAGGGGGACAGCACTCTGTGTTATATACTGCGGGGGGGGACAGCACTCTGTGTTATATACTGCGGAGGGGACAGCACTCTGTGTTATATACTGCGGAGGGGACAGCACTCTGTGTTATATACTGCGGAGGGGACAGCACTCTGTGTTATATACTGCGGAGGGGACAGCACTCTGTTATATACTGCAGGGGGGAGTCAACACTCTGTGTTATATACTGCAGGGGGAGACAGCACTGTTACTTATATACTGCAGGGGGACAGCACTGTTATATATACTCTTGAGGGGGACAGCACTCTGTTCATATATACTGCAGGGGACGGCACTCTGTGTTATATACTCTTGAGGGGGACGCTTACTCTATGTTATATACTGCGGGGGGACAGCGGTCTGTGTTATATACTCGCGGGGGACAGCAGTCCTGTTATATACTCGCGGGGGGACAGCACTCTGTTATATACTGCGGGGACGGCACTCTGTGTTACATATACTGTGGGGGACAGCACTCTGTTTATACTGTGGGGGACAGCACTCTGTTATATACTATGCGGGGGGATGGCACTTCTGTGTTATATAAGGACAGCACTCTGTGTTATATATACTCTTGGGGGACAGCACTCTGTTATATATACTGAGGGGGACAGCACTCTGTTATATACTGCGGGGGACAGCACTCTGTTGCCTTATACTGCTTGGGGGACAGCACTCTGTTATATACTCGGGGGACAGCACTGGGGTGTTGTTACATATACTGCAGAGGAGGGACAGCACTCTGTGTTATACAATACACTGGGGGTTACTCTGTGTTATATAATACACAGGGGCAGCACTCTGTGTTATATAATACCACTGGGGGCAGCACTCACAATGTTATATAATACACACTGGGGGGCAGCACTCTGTGTTATATAATACACTGGGGGCAGCACTTTCTGTGTTATATAATACACTGGGGGCAGCACTCTGTGTTATATAATACACTGGGGGCAGCACTCTGTGTTATATAATACACGGGGGGGGGCAGCACTCTGTGTTATATAATACACTGGGGGGGCAGCACTCTGTGTTATATAATACACGGGGGGGGCAGCACTCTGTGTTATATAATACACGGGGGGGGGCAGCACTCTGTGTTATGTACTACACGGGAAATGGCACTTTGTATCACAGAGGGGGAGACATCACCCTGTACGGCACTCTGTGTTATGTACTACATGGGGGAGGGGGGCAACGGGGCAATTGCCCCCCCCCCCGGGGAGGCGGGGAGGTATCAAACTGTTACCTGACAGTTGCAGAAGAGGAATCAGTCATTAGTCTAATACTATCCTTACCTTTTTGTGTCATTTTACCCCGCTCCCTCTAGCATGTAAGCTCATTGAGCAGGGCCCTCAACCCCTCTGTTCCTGTGTGTCCAACTTGTCTGGTTACAAATACATGTCTGTTCGTCCACCCATTGTAAAGCGCTGCGGAATTTGACGGCGCTCTATAAATATCATAATAACCTCCCTCCCCGGTCCGCAGGCACATTGCTGTCAGCCGGCAGGGGAGGGAGAGAGGACCCGGGAGCTCAGTCTGCAGGTCCTCCTCTCGCGAGATTTGGAGTGTTGCCGCGGTTACCACGGCAACGCTGGAAATCTCGCGAGAGTGAAGTCTAGCCCTGGAGCGCGGGCTAGACTTCACTCCCCACTGGAACCACCAGGGATTCCCACTGGGACCACCAGGGACGGAGAAATGCCCCCCCTTCTCCTCAATAAAGGTAAGAAGGGAGGGGGGACATCAATAGATTTTATTAAATACATTTCTTTTTTTTAAAGCCTCCCTACCCTCCTTCCTCCCCATACACACATACACTGCCCCCACATACACTGCCCCCATACATAAAGTGCCCTCCACAGACATACAGTGCCCCCCATACATACACTGCCGCCCTCACACACATACTTCACCTTTCACAGACACTTCACCCCTAACACACACCACTGCTCCTATGCCCTATATCCCAGCAGACCCCAGGTAAGTTGTCAAACTGTTCTTAAACGGTATGACTACTTACTCTGGGGTGGGATCCTGGCACTACAGGTACCATAACTACTACACTGAGCTGTAGTGGTTATTGTGCCAGGATTATTTATTTAAATAATCTACAAGTGCCCCTCCCGAGATCAGGCTCTGGATCAGCCACTGCATTAGATGGCCATTATCTCAGTCTTGCCTAGTGTGCATTACAACATATCAGTATCTCCTCCCTCTGCATGCAGACACTGAACTTTCCTCATAGATTCATTGATCCAATTCATCTCTATGAGGAGATGCTGATTGGCCAGGACTGTGTTTGACTTGTGCTGGCTCTGCCCCTGATCTGCCTCCTTCAGTCTCAGCCAATTATATGTGTAAGCACTGTGATTGGCTCAGAACAACACTTCTGATGATGTCAGCAGACAGCTTGCTGGCCCGAGGCAGACAGGAGTAGAGCCAGCAGCTTCAGGCTTAAATACAAGTAAGATTTTACTATATTTAGGGAGGCAAGCTGGAGAGGGGTAGGTTGTGGTAGTTTTAACACTATTGGGTCAGAAATGTATGTTTGTGTTCCTGACCCTATAGTGCTCCTTTATTGTTCTTGGAATGTATTTGTAAGGAGGACCAGAGGTGCTAGTTTTATGTGTGATAAGACAATGCATATCAAACGAAACTGCAATGATTTACTTGTGATAGAAAAGAAAGACTGTATATAGTTATATCTGTTAAGATAGGTTTGAGTGACTAAGAGCCAAATAAAGCAAGAATAGCTTTCAATTCAGTGGTGACTCTATGTGCCATTTATTTTATCTGCAGTTAGATCTATAATCCGTACAAGACGTTGGAATCTCAAGGAGAACATAATAAATCAGTCTCGTGGGTAACTGTAGACTAGTATGTGGTCTAAATGAGAATTATATCGTGAGTTTAAAAGAAAAGAGAACCATATGCATTACATAAACTTGTGGTGACTTCTCAAATTTTCCATCTCCTATATTATGTACTTCTTAATTAAAAAAAAAAAAAAAAAAGTTTTAAAAGGTGTCTGTCGCTTCTCTGGAAATTACACCATTGAGTAATACACTGAAAATTGCTATTAATGTCTGTCAAATAGAGTAAAATAATACGAAAGAAATGGTGTTAAAGATTTGGCAAATGACATCACAATCCAAACTTGTATTCCGAAACACTATAGTGTCCTAATGCATGTTTAAATTTAAGACGCCCCTTTCCTTTAAAATAAATAAATAAAAAATTAGAACTTTCCTTTTTTCCAGCGTTGATACATTCACAGTGCTGTTGCCTGCTCTGCCTCCTCCAACATCA